GCAAGTTCACTTCCCTTACTATTCTTCCTCTGTGTGATTTCTTCCTATCTATTGATCAAAATTTCACCACAGCAGAAGCAGGGCACAATTTCATAAAATCAATGTTAGCAGAGCAGATTTTTAGAAGATGTTGTAAAAGTAATTTAGACCATTCAGAAAGACCACACTTGTCTTTGTCTGAGCGCTTATTTTTGTTGTCAGTAGTGAAAGATAAAAATCAATATTAGTTTATCAGAACTACTCTAACTTAAAATCATATTGCATATTATTATGGATAATTGCAAGTTACTGCCAAGAAGTCTGTGATTTTTTCTCACTGCTTTAAGAATAAAGAATCTGATTTTGGGAACAGACGATCAACTCAACAAAACAAGAAATCTTTGTAACAGCTCACTATGATCAGTCTTTCTCAGTTACAATTGTTCTGCTGAGTTTTTACTTCCAAAGGTTGCAATTCTAACCTTAATAAAGCATTTCTACACCTTTACTTATTGATAATAATCCTTTACTCCTGAACAGTTTTGATTTGCTCTGTTTTTTCTCTTTAAAATCCTACAGCACTTGAACAAGTCTGTATCTATTCCTGTACCAAGACCTATTTTAAATGGCCTTTGGCGCATGCTCTGTGTTGATAGAACCCATAAAAATGTTCCCCTTTCCATTGCCAGAAAACGCTTGATGAATATTATTTCAGCTGACTGATTCTTACAAATGTTCAGGGCACTTCTACAGGGATGGGTGCTCAGGCTTTTTCCCCACTACCTCCAGAATATTTCCATCTTCTACGCAATTTCAACAACAAAGACTTACTGCTCTTCTATAAATCCCTGCAATTGTTATTAATTTATGTGGTAAAGATGAAAATAACAATTAAGCTGAAGATTTAGTGCATGGTCTTTAAGTAGAAGAATTTTAATTTTACCCAGGGTGGGAAATTCAGCCTCCCTCTGGGCAACTCACTACGTTGTTTTTTCTGAACAGCCACCTTGATATAGGCGTTAGTACAGATATGCAGGAGTTGATTCATGCTCTATGTCCCCCTGTTTTCCAAGTCTGAGATTCCAGTAAGAATTGCTGATTTTTTATCTTTCCCTGCAAGCAACAGTTTTTAACCTCGGGTTCTTTTGCAGTTTCTGTGGTGCTGTAGTTTTTCAGTTGCTTCTTGAGTATTGGCTGAGTGATCAGTTCAAGTTCTGTGCTTTTCTTTCTAAACCTAACATGGTGCTTCCATGCTCTGTAGTGCTATTGTGGGAGCATGCCACCTTTTACATCACTTCTCTAAGGGAAACTCAGTGCTGATTTTGAAAATCAAAAGGGTGAAGTGGTTAATTCTTCACCAGGAATCTTCACCAAGCCTGTTGTTCACATCTTCTGTCAATTTACTAGGTTTTAACTTTAATTGTGGTTTGTGTGATTTTGCTTACAGTGACAGATGTCAGGGTTTCTAAATTCAGGACATACAATTTCTTCTCTAAGCCAACGTTTCCATGCAGTGCCTCTTCAAAGTCTTTTGTTCCATTTTATTATTAGGAACTTGGTTTTGGTTGCTTGTTCTGTGGTTTATTTTGGTTTTTTTTTAATTCTTGGGAGTCTTTCCAGATCTTGTAAGCCTCCAGGGTACAATCTTATTAGCTCCTATGTCACTTTCTTGTGTCTTTCAACATATATTCATGTTATTGACATATTTCACATCCTGGCTTTCTTTTTCCTTTTACAATTTTTTCGTAGCTGCTTTTCTGCTTTGTTGTTGTTTGTGGAGTTTTTTTCAGGGTTTTGTTTTTTTTTCTTTTTTTGTTGGTTTTGGTTTGTTTTGGTTTCTTTTTTTCGTTTGTGGGGGTTTTGTGTTTGGCTTGTTTTGTTTTGTTTTGTTTTGTTTTGTTTCTTCTTACAGTGCTTTTATTGCCTTGGTTTCCTTTCTTTTCATTCATGAGGATACTTATTTCCCTACTTTCCAGACCTAAACCCTGGAGGCATTGTGACATTTGACACCTATAAGCTGACTGCTTGTGACTGAAGTTCTGCAACTCCTGAAATAACAAGGGCCTCCTTTAATACAGACACACAGATTGAAGTGGCTATTGACTTTCTTCATTAGGTGGGCTTTAAAGTGTGGGCCAAAGAATGCCTGGCTGGCTGTGGTCTGGGTTTTTCTAAGATAGGCAACAGACTGGAGTGATGTCATTGATGGTGCTGCCTAAATTAATGCTGATTAAAAGAAGTAGGGGAAGTGACAACCAGTTCTGGGAAAACCATGACTTGACTGGTCAACCAATACTTGACTATTATGCATGTAGCAATAGCAACATATGGTGCTGTCCTTCACCAAGTCTTGTTTTTCATTCTCCTTCATCTATAACAGGAAGTTTTGTTACTAAGAGACCCCATTTCTGTGTACTATGGGAGGAGAAATCTAAACCCTCTGAACATAAGTATCTTTTCTTTAAGGCCTTGGTGATTTGGAGGTATTAAAGTCATAGAATAAAATAAGTTGGAAAAGACCTTTAAGATAATCAAGTCCAACCTTTACCCCAGGACTGCCAAGTCCACCACTAAACTATGTCACGGGGCCCTATCCACATGAGACAGTGATTCCACCACTGCCCTGGGCTACCTGTTGTAATGCTGGACCACCTTCTCTGGGGAAGGGATTGCTCCTAATATCCATTCTAAACCTCTCCTGGTGCATCTTGAGGCCATTACCTCTTGTCCTATCACTTGTAACATGGCAGAAGAGACCAAGCCCACCTCACTCCATCCTCCTTTCAGGCAGTTGTAGAGAGCAATATGGTCCCCCCCTGAGCCTTCTCTTCCCCAGGCTAAACCACCCCAGTTCCCTCAGCTGTTCCTCATCAGACTTGTGCTCCAGACCCTTCACCAGCTTTGTTGCTCTTCTCTGGCCCCACTCCAGCACCTCAATGTCTCTCTCGTAGTGAGGGGCCCAGAAATGAACACAGGATTTGAGGTGCAGCCTCACCAGCACCCAGTACAGGTGGATGATCACTGTGCTGGCCCTGCTGGGGCCGGGATGCTGTTGGCCTTCTTGGCTGCCTGGCCACAAGCTGGATCATGTTCAGCTCCTTCAATCAGCACCCCCAGGTCCTTTTCCATGAGCAGCTTTCCAGCCACTCTTCCCCAAGCCTGGGGCGCTGCATGGGGTTGTCGTGGCCTAAGTGCAAGACCTGGCACTTTGCCTTGTTGCATCTTATATCATTGGCCACACCTTACAAGGATCACCTTGTCATAAGATGAGTTCAGGTTGTTCGCATCCTACAATGAGAAGCAGGACCTGCCCTTCAAGAACCATGCTGACTGGGTTTGATCCCCTGGTTTTCCTGCATGTGAATTTTAGGATTGAAAAAAAAAAGTGCCACATAAAGCTGAAAGGTGGGAAATACCACTATTAAACTGCACTAAGCAAGAGACTGTAAGTTTATCTTCACTGGTGACCTAGTACTGAGCTAGATATGTCATTGATATTTCATCTCCTCTGAGGTTTTTTAGTGACCAAGGAGCAGTACTACTACAGACCTCTACCCCTCCCCACTGTTAAGGTATGTGGACAGGTACAGTCTGATATGGGAACCTATGAGATTGTTCCCAAACTGTACAGCCCAGAAACATGACCTGGTTCACCAAAGGGTGCCCAGGAAAGGCTGGTGGGGCTGGATGAAGTTAGGGCCACCCTGAAAGTGACAGGAACCCAGAAAGGGTAAGCTGAATGTGATGCTGGGGGACAGAGGTCCTCTGTTACTGCAAATTTTCTCAGGAAAAATGGTATTTCTTTGAGTCTCGATTTTATTTTTTTTCCTTTTTTTATGTTTCAATGTCTCTAGTGCTGGGTGACCATACCAGCACTGCCAGCACCACACAAGGGGCCCAGGAAGCCCATGGTGGGTTGCATGGAGCTGGAGCAGAGCCCAGAGCCAGGCTACATGCCTCGTGGTAGCCAGCAGCAGCTTTATCTGGGTTTTTTTTGAACAGCCCGGCAGGGTCAACACACTTGTCTGAGTCTGACCATGATGCCAAATACATCCCTCTGTTCATGAGTCAGTCACCAAAACTAGGTTCCCAAAACCCTACAAAGGGAGAGACTGGGGCATCTTGTGGTTTTCACCCCCTTCAGCCAGGAGGGATTAACTTCAGTGCTGCTGACCACTCAAGACGTTTGGTTTTTGGTGACTGACTATGAGATTAGGAGCCACAAACCAGTGCTGAAGATATCCAGCATGCAGCTGGATTAATCAGTGTTGACGGTTAATTGAACATCGAAGGAGGAACTATTTGGTCTCACTATTCCCAGGTAGTACTCCCAGAAAACATAGGAATCAGTCCATTCATCTCCCTCCAAGCTAGGACACAACCCTGGTCCTTTGCTGCACTGTGCTTCCTAGAGCTCTTCAGGCTTACACTCCTCTTCTGGGTCACCAAAGGTTTGTAAAATAAGAATCTGTACTTTTATATCCATGCTTCCACAGGTCAGCAGGACACCTGACCAAAATTACTCCCCAGGGAAGGTGTCAGTGAGTGTACAGCTGGAACATACTCCACTTGGAGGTGTACACAAGATTGGCAAAGTAAGTTTCTGCCCATAGTGTTACTTTAATAGTCCACAGTTTTACAGTAACATATGATCAAAATTGTCATTTCCAGAAAATTGCACAAGACTTGGGAAGTTTAACCAGAATGCTGGAAGAGCTCCTCAGAAAAATACAACATAATAATGTTTTGCCAACGCTTTACATGAATTTATTTACATTTGGATTTATGTAAGGAAGTTTCCATGCTATAAATTTTTATTAAAAACATGTCATTAGAAATAAATAGTACATTTATAGTCATAAACAAACCAGTAGTTTTTACACACACTAATGCTGGGTTTCCTCTTACAAAACTGGAAGTGTATTCCACCATCTAATTTTTTTTGTTTATACCTGATATAAAAGGATAAAGTTGCTGCGTGAAGTTCATACTTATTGTGGGTTTCATTATGTACTCAGACTAGATATACAGAGGGTCTTTTTCTGTTTTCCTAATAATATTTATTTGGGAAACATAGCTTTCTGTTCTTGCTATTGATTTTGGGCATGGTAAATGAGCTTAAACACTGCAGAAATAATACCATGATAGTAACAAAGATTAATATATTGGTTGCTTTTTCTTGCTTGTTCATGGGAATGACTGATCTCTATGAAAAAAAGAAATACGATTGTACTGTAGAAAGACTTGATACTACCAGCTGTTTAAAGGAAAAATACATATTTTTTAGTTCACCAGAACCTTATTTTCATTAGCTATGTGGAAATGTGTGGCCTGGTTTTTCAGATACTAGGAAAGCAGAATTCCTCAATGCTGTTCTCCTTTCTGTTTTCTGTTTCCTGCAGGTTGATTTGTTGATACTCAAACGTCACACGATTGATATGTTTGCCACTGGAGACCATTCTCAGTACCGTATTGTCACAGCCAATTTTCATTTGTGCTAATTAAGGAAAAGAGATATTGAGGAGATATAAAGATACACTTATATGGAAGAGAGGGATAAAAGATAAATAACATTGAGAACTACAAAGTACTGATACATACGATTTTGAAAGCAGAGCAAATTTGTGTGTGAGACCAGCCAGTGGTGGTATTGCTGACTAAATACCTTCTTTTGTATTTGTTAGTTTTACTGTACAAAGGCTTGGGTATTTAATCAAGTGTTGTAACCTTTACTCATGCAAATGCCACTCACTTCCTATCCACCTATGGTTTTAGATATGCATAGGTGGACATGATGCAGATGTCTTGGGAAGATAAGGTATGCTACTGTTAGATACAAGGAACAATGGGTAAGGGAAATGTTGCCCTATCCTAAACGTACCAAAAATGAACAATATTGGAATGCTTCCTGTTAGAGGAACGAGTGGTTTTGTGTGTAAGGAGGTTCTTCACAGTAACAAAGGCATGTGAGAGTCCCACCAAGACAAACTCAAATGGCAATGGCCAGCGTATGGACTCTGCGGGAAATCGAGTCTATCAGTAGCTACTGCTTTAGATAAGCCATTTGAGCAGGGGTTTGGCAAAGCCTCTTTCATTTGAGGAGCTTGGAGCATCTTCCTCACTGGAGGAGAAATCTGGTGGGTCACTGGGAGAGCAAGGGCTGTTGAGATGGGATTTCCCTTCCTTCCCACCACCAGGAAAGCACATTTTAATCTCATCGCGCACCTCAGTATTCTCTCAACACCAGTTAAAGCTTTAAATAGTGCCTGGAAAATGAAGTTGTGGTGTGATGAAAGGCAAAGGGATACCACATGTGTGAAGTGCCAGACACATGCCTGTTCTCCAGGCCTGTGGATATGCTGCTTCTCAATGTTCCTATTCATAATTCTGAGGTACAACACATATGCCACAGGGGCTTGTCTGTCATATCACTGCAACACTTGGTGCTCTGCTAAAATGAATTTTAGGGAAACTGGGAATTCTCATTTTTAGGGGTAAAAATAGGTCACTGACGTGGCATGATAGTGAAACAAGAACAGAACTCCTCCAGGGTTCAAAGCAGAGTGGGACTTCTGAGGCTTCAGGGGTACGTGTTACTTCTGCAGCAGAAAAGGAGGCTTTGGGAACACCGAGTAACTGAGAAAAAAACTCCTTAGCTGAAAACGGAACCATTCTGCCTCCATTTGTTACGAATTTCCAGGCTCATCTATCTGTTGACACTCCAGTAATCCTATGTATTGCTGGCAAGCATTTTTAAAATAAGTGCAACTTTGTTACACAGTTAGTGCAGGCGCAAATGAAGGTGTTTGTGTGTGTGCTGTGTAATGCAGCCCAACCACAGGTTCAAATAGCTTTAGATTTCATGTTCTGCTAGATGTGAAGTTTACCATTCTAGCAGGAAATCCAGGTTTGGGGGGGCCTCTGTGTGACTCTTTCTGGCTAATTATTTTATCACATGGAGGTAAGTGGACCAAAGAGCTCTTACCAGACCCATGAAAAGAGTGACAGAGATCAGCAAGTGGAAACATCTTGGACGGGTCTAAGCCAGTTCCTCCTAGCAGCTCTACAAAGTCTCCCACTCCTGCACAGCCTGCTGATGGTTTCTGAAAAGGCAGAGATTAACAGTTATTTATAATTTATTTTCAAAATGTAGCAGTTCTCTAGACATGACTGCAACCACCAGTAGGTTTCAGAAGTTCTCCTGCTCAAACCTGCATGAAATCAGGCTGGTTTTATCCTGAGCAATACTACTTCAATTTGACATTAGTCAGTTAACTTTCTAAGGGATTCTGAAGAAACACCTAAGTAGGCTATGAAAATTACTGATGAGTAGTCAAGGTGTTGATTCAATTTCTTTTAGTGCAGATAAGCAGTCTGATTCTGGATGCTTAGACATGTAATCAAATTAATGTAGTCATGGGCTGCATGTGTGCACTCAGCTGGCATGCAGGAACTTAAGTTCCACTATGCCATACATATTGCTAAACAATAAGTGTTGCTTTTGGAAGAGCTTAATTAAAGTAGGAATAAACCAAAAGAGCAGTTTTGTATAATAACAATAGCTCACCGTATATTAGATCCACAAGCATTCTTTTCCTGAAAATTAATGATGTGTGCCAAAAACATTTTGCGCAGACACCTTGTACACCTTTGGGCTGTCACCCATATGGTGCTTTTTAAGCGCTTGATTTCTTTATGTCTTCTGCTGTTGTCCCTTTTCTGCCTGCTGCTGAGTAAGTCAACTCATTTGCTCATCTCTCAAAGCCTGGTTTGCTCAGATGCTAGCAGTCCCCCATGAGTGACCTGTGCTGCCAGTCTCAGTGGCTCAGAAAACAAACTTTCTTGCTTCTATGCTTCTGGATGTTTTGGAATTTGCACCTTCTTAGACCTTGCAGGCACAGGGGACCACCAACAGCTCTTGTCTTCTCCTGCTGGTCATCACCAAGGACCAAATGCTGTGGCCAAACCGCACCCCATGCTAATGAAGCAGAGGATGCTCAGCATGCTGAGCAAAGAATCAGTTGTGAGCACCTTTGTATTTTCTCCATGCTAATACCTCACTATCTAACCCATGTCGTCTTTCTCTGTTCAGCACAGCTGCTGCTTTCATTAGTTTAAATAGACAGAAAGCACTGCTTTCTTTCTAATGAAATTCTTACCCTTTGTTATGGCAACCAATATTTACGTGCATTAATGGTACTTTGCATAATTTGCCTCTGCAACATTACAAAGACAATAGCAACAGAGACATAACCAGCTCTCTTCTTTGGGGAGAAAACAGAGCCTCCAGCCTGTGCATGTGGGGCCCAGAGTGCACATGCCTTAGCATCCATGCCACAGGCTATCCCCTCTTCAACACTCTTCCCTCTCCCGTGACCAGGAAAACTGCACAAGGTAGTAATTTCTTAGGAAATAAGCAACTCACCTTCAAAAAGAGGCCATTTAAATGCCCCAGCATAAGATCAGATATTTTTATCACCACTGGGTATATTATGGAGAAGCTGCAGTTCCTGTGCTGATGAGGAATGACCATGGTAAACCTTCCCGAGGGAGTCTGAGAGATGACATTGCAAGCTGCGCACAGGAGAAGGTATAAGAATTACTTGTGCAGTCACTACTGTCTGTGGCAAGATTACGTACTTTCAGTACTAACAAAGAATAGATGATATAATTACTGAGAGTGACAACCAAATGCTGGAAAATATGCATGTGGTGTTTCTGGCATTCTTGCACAGCATTTGTTCCCTAAAAATTCCTTGTCTATTGCTTACTGTGTAGCATAAGGTCTGGCAGAATTTGAGGGTAAAGCAGTCAGTGGGAGAGCTCACACCTCAAATCCATACATCAGGGGCTCCTGTTGTTTTCCAGTTTGAAGGAAGCTAAATACAGGTGCAGGCCTTTTGTTTAGCTTTGAGTGGTTGTCTCCTGGTATTGCTAGCAAGCCCTTAAGTCCTATTCTGCTGCTCCTAAGTGGAGTTCCTTACCTTGCAAAAAGTCCCGTTGAAACTAGAGTGGTTACATGCTGATTTTGTCTTAGAGTTCAAGCTTAATAGTTAGGTGAGGGAGTAGCTTATCATCTGTGTGTGCAACACAAGAGACCTCCATACTTATCTGGAGGGCTGCAGCTGCTTTACCAGGCGAGTGAAGACACCTCCAGCAACTGCACACAGTAATCACATGCATGGGCATGGAAGCCTCACCAGTGTGGGGACCCAGCTTGCAGGCTTGTGTCTGAACAACTTGGAATAAGAGCAGGACAGACAGGCCATCATCTTCATCCTTTGTATGGTGAGGTGGATAAACCAGACTGGCCTGAACAATAATTGTTAAGTGGCCTGTCCCCCCTCAGAAAAATAATGCAAGTGACCATTATTTGTGCCTTGCAAGCTCACAGGCTTAAAGAAAGAACTTGTGCATAGATTCTTGGAATCATGTATCACTCATAACAATCACATAACATTCAATATAGTGGTTTTGCTGTCAACTGTTTTCAAATATTTTACCTCATTGTTCACCCAGATCTAAAAATTGCTCAGATTAAACTCTCTAAATTAATACTATTTGTTCCAGCCAAGTGGAATATGACATGCTAGTTTGGAAAAGATCTTTGCAAGAAAGAGCCCTCTTCCCTGAATTCTGAAGGGCTGCCCAAGCTATCTCTTACCCTTCACTGTCTTTTTTCCTTGAGACATGCTGAACCTGAGTCAAATCCTCAGGCTTGCAGGTGTGCATGGCTCCATTGCCACTACTGGAGCTGTGTGAGGGCAGATAATGCCAGCGAGAGAATTCAATGCAAATTGACACATTCGTTTTTCTTCCTGCCCCAAACTCAAGCCCGTTAGATGGTGTAAAATGCAGACTTACGAAAGAGGTTGGTGTTTTTCTTGACTGTGATGGTAAATCCATTGCCTGGCTGGTGAATCCTGAAGAAGATCATTGCCACGTTCTGTGATGACCTGATGCTCTTCTGAATATTGCCACTTTCACAAAAGTCTATGTATCTTTCAGAAGCAGGAAGAGGATGGTCCAAGGAACTGGGAAATTTCTCTCCTTTGAGTATCCAGCCATCAAATACCTATAGGTGTTCAATAATTGAAAACAAGGCTTTTGCTTATTGTTCTGTTAGCAGAGAAAAATGAAATATTACAGGCAGTGTTTTATTTTTGACACCAGACTGCCTGTTCAAAGCCACCAATTGAAAACAAAAATTCTTTGTATTTATCAATTTCCTACTATTTAACTAACTATTCAAGCGTCAAACTGCATTTAGGAAATACATATATATAAATTTTTGTTTTAATTTTCTTTATTTCTTTCAGGTGACAATGCTGGTGACTATTTTTGAGAGAAGCAGCTCTTTTTTTTGCTACAGTGTCATCACATTTGCATCTTTATTATTATTATTATTCCATACTATTTCAATTTCTATGTTACTAAGAGTTCTTTACCAGCTAAATTTGGAAACCACATGAAACATAAGTCACTCTCTCAAACTCGGGGCAGTAAGTCCACTGATCTGGCCTGAAATTTTCCACCATTCATGTTCTGCAGCTTGTCATTAAAGACCTGGATGTCTTCCAGAGCTATTGGAATACAATAAAGCTTCAGCTGAGGAATTATTGGCAGAGGTATAGCTCTCTCCTTTTTCTATCAGCTCATCTTAATCCCTAGAAAGCAGAACAAATGCTGCCTACTTGGCAGGACCTTAGGCAGCAACCTCTACAAATCTCTCCTTCACAACAAAAACAGTAATGGTTTGCCCTCCCTGTCTTTAGGAAAATGTGTCAGAACTAGAAATCTGTATTAAATTCTAGCATAGCTGCGCAGTTGCCTGTTTTGATTCCTTCCTAGCAGCTCTCACCCAGTAATCCCTTCTATGGTCCAGTTGGTACCGGAAAACCCAATGACTAGATTCTGCCATTACTTCAGTGAGTAATCTTAATGTATGTGTAGGAATTCCTCATAATAAAAATACAGGATCAGTCTCTGGATATGCCAGAACTATAAATTTTCTGAAGTAACGAGACATGGGTGCTCAAATTACACAAGGGAAAAGCTGCCTGTATAAATACAATGGTTTAATGCAGAAATTGGCACCCCATGATCAAAGGATGGAAACCTTTATAAAGCCTCAAAGATTTTTTTATCCTCCATAAGTGACTATAAGTCTAGGTACAAAATCCTTGGACCCAAACCAAGCTGAAATCAGCCTCCCTGTAACAACATTGGAAGAGATCATAGCCACGGGTATGGGAGGAAGAGAATTACCTGGGAGGAAAGCAAGCAGGGGGACAGCATCTCTCCAAGAGAGGGACACAAGGAAAGGGCTGAAGGGGAGCCTTCCACCTCCCAGAGCTTAATTTGCCACTGGGTGGAATAGGGTCTGTGCTATGCACAGCCAACACAGCGTAAAGAGCAGAGTGCAAGGTGTGGGGAGCAGCCTCCTTTGCAATCCTGACCTGAGTTCAGATCTTGGTCAGTGCTTTGCCTGCCAAGAAAATGCACTGGTGAAGTTTTTTTTGATACTGGAACATAACTGGCTCTGAGTCACAAACTTCCTTCTGTTCAGGGCAAACACCCTGGAAAGCTCTAGTGGGGCCATTTGAAATAAAGCCTGCAGTGATCCACTTATTAATAAGCTGATGTTAAGTGCCCTGCAAGCAGAGACCCTGGAGCAGTAACAGCCATTCAGAAAGCTGCATCATTATCTGGAGGGCTTGCATGCACTGAGAAAACTCTCTTCATGGGGCTGACAGGCTTGGCTCGTACTGACCAAATTTCAGTCAGTCCCCCAGGTATGGACACTCAGCAGAGATGCTCCTGGAAAAGCTCAGGAGGGCCGGTGCTGCGGTTTGGAGAGGAATCCTCAGCCTGCATCCGACTATGCTTTAAAGGGTGGTAATGCGGGAGACATACCCAGAGTGCCTTGGGCAGGAGAAACAGCTGTCCCAGAGACAGCTGCTTTGTGAGAGCCTGTTCTACACACAGAAACACACACACACTCATAGACACACGCATTTGCCTGCTCCTTCCACACATAGCGAACGTCTGACATGTCAGGAAGGTGACGCACAACAGAACTTGCCAGCCTCTTACCTTCAGGAAATCGCCCCCTTTGCAGTCAATGTTTACAAGGTCGTAGTCGATCATGATTAGCTCCTCAGGCTCCCCGATGAAGAAGGTTGCACAGTGCAGCTGCGGTTGGTCTGCAGTGAAGGTGAACTGCCCCTCTATACTCAGCATGTCAATGCACCCTGCAGAAACACAGACACGGGTCTGCTGCCTCATCCTGCTGGGGAGGGAGACTCAGCTCCAGTGCCCACAGCAGAGGGAATGGGATGGTGGGGAGAGACCTTTACACTGAGACCCGGCTAGTATTGAGGAGAGGGAGACTCAGCTGAAGCAATTAGGAGCCTGCTGAGCATAAGAGGATGCTCTCAAGTGTGAGCACAAGAATGCGAGGGGGAGTGCAGGGGGAGATGACAAGTCGATGCATCTCTGAGAAGAAAACTGCATGTGCATAAGTGCACAAAGACCCCGTTCCTTCAGATTTCCCTCTAATCACAGCTTCTTCACCTGCCCTGGAGATGTGACAATTCCCAGGGACACAGGTGGCCAATCCCCATCCTCCCATTATTGGGGACCCTCAGCTCTGAGCCCCAGCCTCGTCTCAGAGCCTCATTTCAATCGCTCTGCCTCAACCACAGTTTTCCCGACACTTTTAACACTTTGTTATTCTTCTCCCCCACCTTGCAGAAAGTGCCTGCAGCTCTGTTGCTCTGAGATAGCCCTGTTCCCCTCCTTGTGCCCTGAGCTCCCTCCAGGACTCTCCAACCCACTGATGGTCCCCACCAGAGTACCAAAGAAACTCACGGAGCGACCGCCGGTAGACCTGCCCTGCAGACAGCTCTCGCTTCAGATCTTCACTGAGAAGTAGGAAGGGCTCATCTTCACCAGCATCCCTCACCTGGTGAAGGAAAGAAGGCAGGAAGAGTGTGGGACAAAGTGAAATGCAGCCCCCTCCCTGCACCTCTCAAGAACAGGCACCAGCAGTTTAAATCCCTCCTCCAGAAGCAGTGCAGCTGTGGAAGAGCTCTGTCAGAAAGCTGCCAAGCTAAAGTAGAGGGGAGCAAACCTAGCACCTAGGAGGTGAGCCCAGAAAATCTCAAATCCTCAGTAAAAATGCAAGTTTGGTAAAAGGGATAAAGAAACTGGGGGGGACAAGGGCATGGTATGGGACTGTTGCATTAAATGTTACCCAGGTGTATGTTTAAGGAGGAGTGGGAATAGGAGGAAAGAGAAGAAAAAGCACAATGCTTGAAACCTGGGAGTACAAGTTAGAAGACAGCAGTTAAAAGCACAGCAAAGTGCCCCATTGCTCACCTCTAGGTATCTGGTCTCCCCCTTGGAGGCTGCCAGGAAGATGAGAATGAAGTGGCACTGAAACTGGAATGCAGACGGCATGCTGACACCTCTTCTGGCAGCCTTCCCTCTCCCCACAGCCAGGCTTCTGGTCTGCGCCAGCAGGCAGGAGCTGCTGGGGTATCTTGGAGAGACTCTTTTATAGAGCTGTTGAGAGGGGAGGCACTTGGTCCCTGTACTGATAGGGTAACCTATGGTAACTGAATTCCTCTTGCAGTGACACAGTATGTGGGCATGACGAGGGTCCAAATCACAGCCACAAATTTTCAAGCCGGTTGAACTCCCCACACTGACAGATGTCTTTTATCTCTCTGGTGGAGATGAAAAGCTCTGGGGAGGAGAGCCTGTCCCATACAGTCAGAGCACTCACACCGTGTTTTTAGTTCCATTTACCCCAAGCGAGGAACGAGGATCATCCCTTCCTCCATCTTGTGCTGCTTTCCTGTGCCAGGGCATTTTGGACCTGCAGGGCTCCCTTTCTGCCTCCTGCTGCTTTGTGACATGCATCTCTCCACAGCACCTGTGCTAGAGGTTTCCCACTGGCCAGGCCTGGGTAGCACTCTACATCCCAGCCAGGCTTGCAGCCTGGGGTCAGCGTCATCCCAGGGCCAGGGGACCTGCTGGCTTCCAGGTCCTGTGCCAGCAACTTTGGCACAAGGACAGTCAAAGCCAGACAGCTCTCCACCAGATAATGGCTTTCATACAAAAATTAGAAAACCTTGAGGCTCCCAAGGGCATATTCCCCATAGCTGATACTGCTCCAGCCCGGATCCTGAAGGGAAACGTGAGAAAAACCTTTTAAAGATGACTCTGGGAATGGACACTCATAACTCTGCCGAATACTAAATACCATTAATTCAGCAGATCTATTAGCTGTAGGGTACATTCTTATTTTCCCCTGACTTGCGATGAACCATCAATACTCTGCAGACAATAACTACCCTTTCCCCATCTCAGGCTTCTTACTAATGTCACCTTCTGCTCTATGCTTCCCTGTCAAATTATTATTTTGGTTCATCAAAACTTAGAAATATGTTTGTAATATGATCCAAAATTCAAAGCTTTAAGTTTGTTGCTTCTGATTTCATTCTTAGGGCTTGTAGATAGAACATTTGCTTGCTGTTTCACCAAACTTGTCAGTCAAATAAAGAGCAAATACGTAAATATTGCTCTGTCTGTATGCCTGTGGCTCTGCCTGTATTATGCTGTAATTCTTATAGTTTACTTTAATGTAAACTATACTTTATAATGTAAACTATACTTTATAATGTAAACTATACTTTACTTTAATGTAAACTATAACATTGTTCTATATCTGCATGGCTCTTCTGTGAATTTGCCATACCGTTGCGGGTTTCAGGAGCACAAAAATACTTAGGAAATGGAGAACATATTATTTTTGAACTTTGACATCAAGTTGCATTTAAATGCTGTTAAAACTGATTTTAAGAACTGTGGTTAATTACTGCATGAAGCAAGACTTTAGGTATGTGCCTTGAACTGTTTAAACAGTGTGTTTTTAGGAAAGTTTTATCAGAGGATTATCCAAGCGAATTTGGAATCTGAAAAATCCATTGAAGTCCTATGGGAATTACAAGTTTTGTTGGAAAACTGGAGGGTTTAGCTCCAACTTGCATTTAGAGGATGACTGGGAGGCTAATCAGAATAGGGAGAGGCACTCTTGTGATCACCAGGATCCTGTGGGACCAGTAGGGGCTGTGGGGCAGCCTAGTCTCATTCATGCTTCTTATCACATGTTCACTTTCTGAAGAGGTGAAGGATGTTAGAATTACAGCAAGACCCCTTCACTCCCCATCTTTGAGGCACTTTGCAGAATGCAGTCCCAGTTCTGGCTGGGGAGTCCCACTTCCCCTTCTGGCCCCCAGCTTCAACCTCATATCCTGAGTCCTTACCTATCTCCAGTAAAGGAGAGAGAGTGCTTGGTAGCATGAGAATTCAACCAGTTACAGAAGATCTGGTTAAATTCAACTCAAAAAATGAGTGAAGAACAAATGACACTGCTGCTAATCAACACAGCTGTCTAATAAACCATCTATGGGGTGATCTACTCAGAATAAAACATACCAACAGCAATTTCAACATATTTTAAGCCCTTGCACATGAATAGCTGAGGTCTGGGCTAGCATAGCATTTTCTGGTGGAGGTCCCAGACAAGCAGGTGGTCCCAGGGGCTGGAGGACATCCCAAAAGATGAGGTGTAGGGACTGCCTTTCTCCAACCAGCAAGGTGGAGAGAGGGAGGATAGGAGTCACCTCCATGTCTGTTGCAATTTCTTACTCACATGGCACCTATGAAGGCTTTACATTTTCTGTGCAGGAGTTTGCTCTGAGTGTTGCAAATATTCTGTATAACATTAGTGCAAAAGTTAAACTCACCCCTTGCTGTGGATGTGGAGCTTAGGTGTAACAGGGGCACTAAGGCAACCTGTCATCTACTCTGCATCATATTCCACTTTGCATTTTGGTTCTGCACTCAGCAGGAGCTAATGAAGCCGATGACATCCTGCCCAGCCTCATGACAAAGCCTCCTAGTACCCGGGATAATTGCTTGTGTCCTCAAACACAGGGTTGCCCACAGCCCCCAGATTCTTATATGCTTCCGTCTGCGCAGCTCCAACGTCTGTGGAAGGCAAGTGTTTGGGATGGGAATAAGAACCACACACAGAGAGGTGCAGCTGCTGCTGCCAGAAGCTGTGCCTCATGGTGCCTCCACAACTGACTCAGGTGGAGCCTTGGAAGATCGACCCACAAAGTGGACCAGTCCCAGGGGAAGGAGCGGGCTCATCTCCCAGCACATCATCCTGGCTGCCAGAGAATGAGGGAGGATGGGAGTCACCTCCTCAATCAATGCTGCTGCCTCCTCACAGGGTATTACAAGTCCCCTTCCCCTCTGTACCTCCCAGTACAGATGCTTTTGTTTAAGGCCACTGGCAGAGACTGATCTCTTCAGGAGATGAGATTGTGACTAACAAAGCAAATTAAAATTAGCAGTTTAGTCAGGGTTCAAAACATCGCTGCAGCATTTCAGAAGGGAAAAGCACCTTCAATGTGTGTTGTGGTTTAAACCCTAGCCAGACAGCTTGTTCACTCACTCCCAGTGAGTGGTGCCGGGCTGAGAGCAATCGAGGCCCCCCCCCGGGGCTCTCCCCTTCCCCGCTCCTGGAGGAATGGGGAGGAGGATCGAAGGAGTGCAACTCCCACGGGTTGAGACAAGAACAGTCCAGCAACCAATGTACAACACAAATCACCACCGCTACCACCAACTACAACAATGATAAGGGAAAATAACAAGGGAAGAGAATACGATACCACCGGCCAAGAAACGAGTCCCACCCAGAAGCCCGTGTCCTTCCGGGTAACTCTCAGTTACCCCCACCCCGGGCATGATGTGCTGTGGTATGGAATACCTCCTTGGCTAGCCTGGGTCAGCACCCCATCTCTGCTTCCTCACAGCTTCCCCTCCTCCCTGCAGAGCATGAGCCTCACAGAGTCCTTGGTCAGGGTAAACATCACGTAGCAACAACCGAAAACATCGGTGTCACCAGCACTGTTCCCAGACTGGCAGTCAAAACACAGCACTGCACCAGCTACCAAGAAGGAGAAACATGACTGCTACTGCTGAACCCAGGACATTATCCACCCCTTATTCCATACCAGTCACGTCATGCTCAGATCCCACATTTTCAATACACCATCGCTCTCCCACATATATACATCCATATACACACAGACCAAGAGAAAGAGATCATTTTCTTAGTGCATGGACCAATCCCTATAATGCTGCTGAGTCCATTTGGTCCATGATGTCAGGTTCCATCTCTTGTTAACAATCTTTCAGGGCAGGAAAGGCTGTGTGCAGTATTGGATCGTTGCCTGCTGATGCTGGTTGTTCCTTTACTGTGGAACTCATCTGGTTCTATCAAAGTTCATTCTCTGTTGGGATGATGGCTGGAGGGAAGTCAGGGCCAGTCACTGGTGACCTGAAGACATCTAGTTGATGGGCTATAAAAGTATTACACAGCAGGCAACAGCATACAATTAAGTTCATTGGCTGTTTTCCCCTAAAATCAAATCCCCTTGAGGTATACATCGGACTTCCCCATCTTTCCGCATTGCCCACCAAGTATATCCAGATCCCTGAGCAAAAGCAATCCCCCAGGTGGGTTTGCCTTTACCTGAAGCAGGAATAACCCAGACTGTCTTCCCCAGCAAATTCTTCATATGCACCACAGGAACTTTGTCCCCCTCTACAATATGTAAAAGTTCTGACTGGGCTGGGCCAGCCCTGTTGGCAGATCCTCTGGTGTTGACCAACCAGGTGGCCTTTGGTAAGTGTGTATCCCAATGCTTGAAAGTTCCCCCACCCATTGCTCTCAGTGTAGTTTTTAACAGCCCATTGTACCGTTCGATTTTCCCAGAGGCTGGTGCATGGTAGGGGATGTGATATACCCACTCAATGCCATGCTCTTTGGCCCAAATATCTATAAGGTTATTCCACAAATGAGTCCCATTGTCTGACTCAGTTCTCTCTGGGGTGCCATGTCGCCACAAAATCTGTTTCTCAAGGCCCAGGATGGTGTTCTGGGCAGTGGCATGGGGCACAGCGTATGTTTCCAGCCACCCGGTGGTTGCTTCCACCATGGTAAGCACATGGTGCTTGCCTCGGCGGGTTGGTGGCAGTGTGATATAGTCAATCTGCCAGGCCTCCCCATATTTAAACTTCAACCATCGTCCTCCATACCAAAGAGGCTTTAACCGCTTGGCTTGTTTAATTGCAGCACATGTTTCACACTCATGAATAACCTGGGCAATAGTGTCCGTTGTTAAGTCCACCCCTCGATCACGGGCCCATCTATATGTTGCATCTCTGCCCTGATGGCCTGAAGTGTCGTGGGTCCACCGGGCCAAAAATATGTTGCCAATCTAAGTCCATCTGAGCCACTTCAATCTTAGCCGCTTTATCCACTTGTTGGTTGTTCTGGTGTTCCTCAGTGGCCCAACTCTTGGGTACATGGACATCTACATGACGTACCTTCAGCACCAGGTTCTGCACCCGGGCAGCAATATCTTTCCACAGT